TTTTGTTGAAGCAATATTTCCTTGTATAATTATATGCATTATAAATGAGATACAGTATTTGAACAGAGTATGGAAGGAGATTATTATATTTATTTTAGTGAGAACAAAATGAAGCCTTAGGCTATGAGGGCTGGAGTTGTCTGAGCAGTTTCTGCGTTGGCAGTTGGCATTTTAATATGTTTTTAACTTTCTTTTAAGTTTTGATCCTTTTTTCTAGATAAACGTCGTCCCATCTTTTGCAAAAGCAACTGCAAACTTCCGGATCCACTCTGCAGAAACGGCCAGTGAGGTACTGTCTGCTCAGTCAGTTACTGTTTTGCTCTCCTCTTGAGTAACTTACTTGTCTGTACCTTTGAAACAGATGACTAGTGACTGACTGGAAGCAAGCTTCCCTCAGTTTTAATTTTTTCTGTAGCTTTATGCATATTGTCAGTCAAGCTGTTGAGGTGTGTTCTACTAAAGATTCCCACAGAAGATGCATGAGATGCGTGAGACGGTACAAAAATCATCTGCTTTCTTTTTGTGAATGGCTTGTGTAGGTACACGGCACCTGTATTCAAGGCTGGGCGCCTCCCTGCTTCCAGATGCTGCTTTATTCTCCATCCTTTCCTGAGCAAAATGACGCTTGGCCATTTGAGATTAACTTAGCCCCTGTGGCAGCAGGTCTGTTCTGTCAGAAAGCTCTTGTCTTCTCTCTCCATATTTAAACAAGCAGTGGAGGGAGAATATTTGGGAACTGCGCCTTTATGCAGGTTGTACTTCATTTCAGAGGAGGAGCAAAAAATGTCAGATAAGCTGTGTTTGTGACCAAGTGCATTGTTTGTTATGGCCTTTTCTTTACCTGGGTTTGTAGCTAGGGCTAGGGTAATTCATCATATTTGGGTGGGTGATTTGCTTTAATACTGGGTATCTATACTGGCTATTGTTATGAGGAGCGCAGTGCAAGCGAGCAAGGTTGATTTGTTTACAGTTGGAATAGAATTTATTCAGCGCAGCCTTCTTAGAAACTCTGTTTAAATTTCAAATATCTTCTGAATATGGAACAGAGTAAGAAGCAAACTAAATTTGGAAGCATGCCCTGCAGTTACAGCAAGCAGACTTCAGAAGTCATTCTTGTGCTGAAGAGCATGTGGGTCTCATGCAACTACGGAATGGAAGTGTTAAAGCTTGTGACCTGTGAGAATGAGACTGTCTTGTGTAATTGAGTAGGTATGACAGGCCTGTCCAGTGAAGGACAGCTGTGATACATTATCAGTAAACAATATCTTCCCTTCCTAAACCTCTGATGAAAGTTTATCTTTCTGGGAGCTTTTTCTGTTTACTTGGATGACCCAGCTACCAGGTGTAGCAGCAGCTACATGACTTTCAGGGCTGAAGCAGTTCAGGAAGACCTTGAGACAGTGATATGCATCTGATTTGCACTGGAAAAAAATATTAGCTTTAATACCAGCCATCCAGTGAGTAAGAGGAAGACAGATTGTCAGTCAGTTCCAATCCTAAATATGCATCTGTATTTGGAGCCACAATTGGCAGTTCACTGACAAACATTTTCTGGAAACTGGATCATACGCGAGCATCTACAAAGGACATGCTCTCATTTCTTTTGCTTATTTAAACTTTGTGGTTAACCCGTAGGTGCTAGAGACAGTTAGAAACACTATTGCTGATGACAGAGTGAAGATTGATATAGTAGAGGCCTTTGACCCACTCCCCATCAGTCCTTGGGATGACCAGACATTTGGAGTCCATGTTTTTCAAAGAACCATTCTGGATACTTTCCCAAATGTTGACAGTGTGGTCCCAGGTAACAGCAAGCACATGATGATTATTGTTTCCTTTCCAACTTCCACCCTTCTTCCTCCCTTCCCCCTCCCATTGCTTTGTTTCCATTTTCTGTGTATTTCTCCACCCCAGCTGTTAACTACTGGAAACAGCTGTTTTTTCCTTTTCTATTTGGTTCCCTGTCTTGCTGTTTTAAACTTTTTAATGTTGTTTTTTAGTAGTGGAAGTAAAAAAGCAAACAGGAAACTGGCAGAAACAATGAGCCTTAAATTGGACTCTGCACATACAAAGGGATCTCTTCAAGGAAGAAAGGAATTGTGAGGGAGGAGGAGGTCTTCTTGCTTTAGCTCTTCTTTTATTGTTTTCTTAACTGGCAAAGCCATTTCTGCTCTTCTGAACTGTTCCTTATGATGCCAGGCCCTTCCCTTGCTAACAGTTCCTTGCTAGTTCTGTACAGTTTGTTGGATTGCAAGCTTAAGCTTATGTGGGCGCTAGGTATCATGGCTGTCCTTAGAATGGTTGAACTGTATGTTCAGTTCCTCTTGTTACTGAAGAGAGAATTTTCTTCTTTCAGGATGCAGCAATAGACTGTTTTCAATGATTCGGCTTTTGGTGTAGGTAGGGGTCATGTAAAACTGTTATCAGATGCCTTTTGTTTCTCCTGGGGAATGTGTGGTTCATTAATTTGCTGCTCTCATGCAAAGTAAAACTGAGGTTTGTTTTCCAGGCACATGTGTTGGAAACACAGACAGCAGGCATTTCACTAACGTCACAAATGCCATTTATCGATTTAACCCAGTGCTCTTGAGATCAGATGATCTTCCCAGGTACTGTATTCTATCTGCATGGGGGCAGCTGTTTGGGGTGGAAACTAGAGAAAGAGAAAATTGATATGCGTTAAGCGGGAGAAGGAAACCCAACCTTGTATACCTTGGCATGGCATTGTTGTTGCCTCACATTCTCTTAGGCCACCCATTTCCTGCAGATTTGGGTGCTGCACAAATAGAGGATGATAATTACATTGGGAGAGCCTTAGTCCTTATTCTTCTTTACTTCAGATGCAGACAAGACTTCATTCAGGTGTCCCCATCCAATAGTACAGCAGAATTCATACAATAATATAAGGCTGGCTGGATGCTATATATAGTGCTGCAGTTTGAAAGGTATTGTTCTGGTGTTTGGTCTTGTTTCAGAGATTGATCCCTATGTTTGGCACACGTGCCACTCCCAGTTCATTAGCTCCTTACTGCTGGAGGTTAGGTTTCCTAGGGTAAAATGATAAAGAAGAACGTTCCCATGCAAGGAGATTTTTTGCGTATTTTCTATGCCATAGATTTGTTATTTTATTGAGGTGCAGATGATAACAGGAGTGGCGTGCTCTGGTAACTGTACAGGGCAAAATGGCCAAGAACTGGGCAGAGAAGTGGAATACCGATTGTTCTTTTCCTCGTGTTCTGTGGGCTTAGTCACTGTGCTTGGAGCCTTAGAAGTGGTAAATTATTTCGGTTGTCCTGCATGGTTAGAGTGCAGTATCTGGCATATATTGTGGTCTTTTTATGTTGCATATTGCTTTATGAGTTGAGCAGGCAAATAGCAGGTGGGTCACAAACACATAAATGCATACTGGAATGAAAACTGTTCTTCTCTTTCTACCAGGATCCATGGGTTGAACGAGAGAATCTCTGTTGAGGTTTATGAAAAACAGGTCGAGTTTCTCTTTCAGCTGATTAAGAACTGTGATATTGACAAGCTTCCGGAGCCTCACTCAAACTCCCATGAGCTGTGAGACAAAACCTGAGAGGAACAGCCACAGAGGTAGACTTGGGGGGAGGGAAAGGAATCTGGCCATATGATGCGGTTGTGTGTTGCATATTGAGCTGTGTCTGGATTTTTATCACTGCAAATTGTGGTTTACATACAGATGGAAAAATTTGCTGGTTGCTGCTTTAGGCAGATACATGGTTTGCCCAAAAGTGATAGACACCTGGACAAAACACAACAAATAACCCCGACTGCTGTGCCTCCCTACTCTCATGCAGGCAGTAATCTGATGATACTACATTTTTCCGCACTTCCTTTAAATCCTTAAGCCTCTGAAATTGGTAGTCACTTAGAAATCTAAGCTATAATTTGCAGTTGCTCATCCATCTGTAAAAGAGCTAATCCCCCTATGTGCACTTTTCACAAACTCCTCCTGTACAGATAATTGATTTTTCACAAGGGATGTGTCTGTCAAAGGCTTGTGTGGAAAAGTTCATAACATGGTGCTGGTTTGATGTAATTGCGTAGAATTGTGCTAAGAGTCTGTTGCACTGCTGCTTTCTATAGGCTTCTTTCCCAGGTGGTGCTCTCAACCCATGTCAGTGTTATATAGGTACTGCTAATTCTCCCATTCGTGCACTGATTCCTAACTCCGGTTTAAAATACTGAACTGCAGAAATTCTAATTATGCTGCTTTAACTGATGCCGCCCTGATTTCAGAGGCGCTAAATCTTTGCTGTTAACTTTTTCCCTATCTTTTTAGTGACTTTTTCCCCCCCTCTTTCTTTGGTAAGGCGCAGAATATGTTGTGCAGCTGGGTGTCAGACTAAGGAACTGCAGCTTTAAATAAGAAAATAAATCAGTATCATATATATTTTCTTTGTGCTGAATCAATTTCTCTGTAGTATATGTTTCTCTTTTTTTTCCTTTGAGAACTTGATTTTGAAAGATGGTGGAAGCCCTTCTGTTTATTCCAGTTCAGTGGGAGCAGGGAGCCTTCTCTGTTCCTTCATTGCCTCACTAGCACTTTTCACTTTACTCTAGCACTTCAGTCTTGATTTAGCTCTTTGGGAATCCTAATGTGGACAGGCCATTGATGTTGACTCTCTTTCATCTCGTCTTGCTCTTCTTGCACGAGCATGCCTAACTTGTTAGCACTGAAGGGTAGAGCATTCTTCTTTTGGCCTAGATAATCTCTTTAGTTGCAGATACTGTTATTAATTAAACAAGGAAGGAATTAAGAATCAGATGTTAGCCAAAGTACAGGCAGGGTGAAAACCACTTTGTCGCACTGATGTGCGGACTCTGTGCTATAGGAACCAGCCAAGTATCCTCCTGTTGCATTGTTGCAGAGATGCTTGTTTCTTTTTCGGAGCTTGAATTACACAGTGGCGTGGGTGGTTATTCTTATCTATACTCACGCTATAAATGTACTGAAATGTACATGAAATACCCCGAAATGTATCTTGAAAAAGAGTGATGGAACTGTGATTTCTATTCTTTCCTTTCACCATTCTGTATTTATTTGCACTCTGATTTTATCAGTACAGCCAATGGGCTAAAACTGTATCAAGTTACTAAATAGTTGAAAACAGATCATAATTTTCATCTAATAAAAAAGGAATGCAGACTCTCTTCTGATTATTATTTAGTCTTTTAATGTAACTGTATAATTGCAGTGAAATCATTTCCACACCTGGTTCTCCACTAGAGCAAGTTGTAAAGTTTCCATCAAAACAAATCCACATATTTTCCAGCCTACTTTAATGCTGCACCCTCCCTGTCCTCTCCTTTCGACACAAAATTAACTAATTCCCTTTATGCATTACTGGGTAGTAAATAGTTTGCATCTTTTACCTTTTATTGCATTCAGTCTGTGTGTCCTAGCATCATTAATCTGTTTAGCTGCGTGTCTACAGCTCTTTCACAGAGGTGTCATTCCTCTTTCAAACTCCTGTTGCAGATGCAACAAAAATGGTATGTCAAGGTACAGCACGTATTAAAAACACAGCCCCATGAGTGGAAGGTGGAGGAAATTTTTCCTCTCGCAAGTCTCTATAAAGGCTTGATTGAGGCTTTAAAGCCTTCACTTTGACTTTGACTGTATGGGGCCAATGCTGTTTAACATCTTCATTAATGACCTGGATGATGGGACAGAGAGCACCCTCAGCAAGTTTGTAGATGATACAAGATTGGGAGGAGTGGTTGATACACCAAACAATTGTGCTACCATTCAGAGGGACCTCAGCAGGCTGGAGAAATAGGCCAGCAGGAGTCCCATGAAGTTCAAAAAGGGAAGCGCAAAGTCCTGCACCTGGGGAGGAATAACCCCATACGGGTGGGGACCGACTGGCTGGAAAGCAGAAAAGGACCTGGAGGTCCTGGTGGACAGCAAGTTGAACATGACCAGCAAAGAGGGCCAGCAGCACCCTCAGAGGAGGGAGTAATGATGATCTCCAGAGGCCCCTTTCAACCTCAACCAGTCTGTGATTCTGTGGGATGTGGGCATGTTGCAAAAACCCTAACTGGAACTGGACTTGGGTCATGCTGCTGTGCAGCGAAGACTGCTGGGGTGCAGAAGGAGGGATTCGTGGTCTGTTGTAACAGCAAAAGAGGCCTAAAGACAGAAAGCATCCTTTATATTTTGTAATCTCCTATTCCTGATCAAGAAACACTCATCTGTTTTTTGCAAGGATTATTTCTTGAAAGGAGATTCATTTGAAGATTCATTTTGTTGCTGAAGGGAAAGTGAAGGACAAACAGCACTGGCAAGGCAGGGCTGGTTTTGGCAAGTACTGTGCAAACGTGTGCCATGGGGTTTCGCTGCTGCGGCTTGTTGCAGAGCTTCATTAAGTGCTACTCATCAGCTAGAGCTGAAATCATGCAGTGTGCCTCTGCAGTGAGTGAGTAATCAACAGAGCTTTATTGCAACCTGAAGCCTCTGAACAGAGGTACTTTAAACAGCCCTTAGCCTGCAGGTTCCAATGGTGAAAAGCACATTTCCCCAGCTCTCCCCATTTTTTCCCAGTCTTTTCTAATAATGATGTATGCTTTGTACCTACAGCAGCTTTGCCCTTCGTATTCTCTCTTGTTTTATCATATAAGCTGCCACGTTGTGCTTATCTGGCACAATTCTGAAGGGTTGCCTGGTGATCTGATTCTTGCACACCTGACAGTGCAGTTTCTTCTCCACCCCATACTACCTTTCTCATTATATGTTCTCATAAAATGTTTCTCACCTTGAGTAGTATGTGAAATCTTTGTGTCAACATGTAAATTGCTGTGTAAGGATGATGCACTGGCCTTCTTTGCTAAGATCATGTAAAACTTTGCATTGCATGAGTAACTTTTTGGTGATAAGTACATCATGAAAAAACAGAATGATAGCTCTGGTTTATTATTTTTTGTAATGAGCCAGTATACTCTGGTCACATAGACCAATTGCCTCTGATTCATCAGAGAAAAAAAGCCTGATTTTTCTGCTCTGAAGATGTGCAGCTTGGTGTTATATCTAATAGGGGTTTTTAATGCTGTTTGCATCAGCCCAGTTCCAGTATGTTACCATGTTCCTGAGTTACATGCATAGCAGCTTCCTTTTCCCCCTTCTTTGTAGCCAAGTCTACAAAGCTGCTATTCTTCTGACAAAGTTACTCAAAGTAATATGTCTGTGGTTGTCCAGCCAGGACAGCCTGTTAGCTAGCACACCAGCTGATGTAGGGTCATACAGGCCTGCAACACTATGAAGAAAAGGTCACATTCCACACCTGCATTTTCTAAAGAAAGCTCTGTTGCTGGCCTCTGTTGAAAAGGGCTGAGTTTATTTTGAGCCCCCAGTGACCGCGGAGAGTTCAGGCACAGAGCTGGAGGAGAATGCAGGAACAAGGTGTTTACAAAGTTGTTTCCTGCCGCCTTGCATTTGACACTTACGTTCTTGGCTCCTCTTCTGCTGCTTTGTTTGGTATTTCATGGAGCTGGTGAAGTTCATTTTCTCAAGCAGGTGTTGTCGCATCTTCCACACTCGACTGAGCCAGTGCCGCTGAGCCCTCGTCTCAGTGCCACGGAGCAAGACGTCCCTTGAGTAACTCGGAGGCCTCTCAGTCATAGCTTGCCGTACCCTTTGCCATTCAAGAGAAGCGCTCCTCACCTGCGACTCTCAGTCATGACCTGAAGTACTATGTGCTGTTATGAGGTGGAACCTTGCACAGATTCTTGCCAATGCATTCAGTCCTCGTGAGCAGCTCCCCTGCAGAGGTTGCCAGTGCTCTGGAATTTTTACAGACATACTTTGTCTCTTTAGTCCCCAAAGTCAGGCTCCTACCATAACCCTTTAGAGAAACCGTGCTGCCATGACCTGTGAGGTCTCTAGTGCAGAACTGATAGTACATGTCAGCATCTCTCAACGCCCATAGTAAGGCCTAGAGGCATTCAGAAGTGCTGCCCAGGGAATTTTGTTGTTGCTGTTGCTTGAACAACACAGCAAAGGCCATACGTGATCTGAGTTGCAGTGCAGGAGGCTTGGCTCTGGTTTCCGGTTCCATAGCTTCCCGGGGTAGCAGGGGCGGCAGAGATAAAGAGCTCAGCATGGTGGGGAAGGGAGTGACCTGCTTCTCTCAGTAGAGATCACTCTGGCTGATGTAAGAGCTGTGATGGTGGGTCCCAAAGGAAGCTGCAGTCAGTTCTCAACAGGAAGGAAAATGACCACATCGAAGGGTAGTTAATGCAGGGGGTGGGGAAGAAAGAGTAAATGCTCTTCATCACTGATGGATTTACCTATGAGTTGGCCAAGGCCTGGGCAGTGGGATATAAGAAGCAACATCCAAGCCGTGAAGCCTATCCCAGGTGGACAATTATTTGCCACGGAGCATTTTTATTCTTCCTAGTACATTTGGATTTGTAAACATTATTAATATAGTTCTGGCTATTTACATTTGTGCACCACAGAAGGTTAATCCAGTGTCATCTTTGGGATTTTGTGAAGTGACAGGAACCTCACAGAATGGGAAAAAGAGGGAAGTTAAGAGATGATTCTCATTTATAATTTTTTTAGTATTGGTCTCTGCCCTGCCTCATGGTGTTAGTCATTTCTTCAGCCTGATTTCTGAATATAAATATATAAATGAATTTAGAGGGTATATCCAGAACAAGGCAGAAATGTGAGGCATGTCCTCAGTCCCAACATGACAGGTGGCCTCGCTGCCGCTGGGTCAGCGCTGCGGACATAGGAACCACTGGCCTCCTGGATCACAGGAAGCCAGGGCCCTTCAGCCTTCCTCTGCCAGATGCTCTCACGTGGCAGAAAGCCCTAGGGGACGTACCTGAGTGACACTGACCTGTGTTTGTCGCAGCAGATACAGCATGTAGGTGACAGGTGGGATGGTGATGGTTTTGTTTGCTTCCAGGGCTGCTAAAATAGAACTTCTGGGATCTGCATTTCTTCTCCCGGACTAGGACCACAATGGGGTCAGCTTCTGACGTTGTTGCCTGCCTTCATAAACTGCTTTTGCTTTGGACTGATATCTGTAGGGGTAAGCCACTATCCATACCCTGATCAGTCATTGAGTTTGTCTGCGGAGATTCCTGGTTACAAGGACTTTAAGAACTAGGTCCCCTCAGAATCCATGGTCAAAGGCAACTAGGACTCCAGTCAGGTCAGCATTTAGACACAGAGAGGGCAGGCAGCTGTGGAGTTACAGCAGGGAGCAAAGGGTCTGGACTTTTTTGAGGACACTCAAATTCTGTGTTAGTTTTTTTGAGTGACTTTGGCCAAATCACTTCATCTTTCTGAATCTCTGCTGTCTGTGAAAAGGGAAAATTCTGCTGCCTTTATTCCATATACATTTGGCCTCATAGGCCATTACTAGGTCCTCACCCAGAACTGGACTGTGCTGTGTGATAGCTTCGTAGTGCTAAAGTCGTGTGGCTGCTGTAAAACACATGGGCACAACGTTCCGTGATCTAGCGTAGCTCAGTGGTAAATTCTGTTCTTCCTGAGCATTTTGTTGCCATTGGTACCTGCTACCCTACAACTGGAAACCCATTTCCTGCCCTTTCATCCTCTGCCTTTCTGATGTCTGTGTGTCAGCGTAGCTGGTGGGGATTTTATCTATTTCTGTTTTCTTGTCTCAGGCGGCTTTTGTCTTCGTGCTTCCACTTCCTGAGCGTGCAGCTGGCTGGACTGTTAATCAACAAGGTCACATTTTGGTGTGTGTTGTGGTTGCCGGGGGGGGAAAAAGGGGGGGGGGGAATATGGATTTTTCAAATCAGGAAGGAAAGATAAAGGCGGAAATAGTGCTTAAAAGCGCAGGTTTATTTGGAGAAAGGAAGACGGAAGCTAAGGTTGGAGGCAGGATTTGGGACTGACTGCTGGGTTCCCCTCCCAGCTTGAGTGTGGAGCTGTGCTACAGCTTTAGCTAAGACATTGTCTGTGTGTGCCTCAGTTTTCCTATATGTTTCTTTGCCTGTGTCACAGCAGGAGGCCATGAGAATTAGTTAAATGACTGCAAATGCTCATCATCCTTTGAAATATTGGGTTCAAGTCGTCTGTGTAACACCAGATAGGTACAAAATCCAGTACACATTGCCAGTTATTGCTAGATAGCGTAGGTGGCACTCTTCTGATCTGCTCCAGAAACTGAGCTTTCTTAGGAGAGAATTTTTGCAAAGGTTGTTGGGACTGAGAAAGTTAGAAAACCTAAGTGGTTTTATCGGATCTAACTCCAGGCTGCTTTAAACATATGTATATGTTGTCCTGCTTTTCAGTGTGTTGGTCACCCTTTCCTTCCAAAGCAACAAATATTTCAGGAAACAAAATTCCTCATGTTCAAATTTTAGATTTTATAAGGAGAAAGGAATTAAGTAGCACAGCACACATCACTAGAGGGGTCTGAATCACAACGGCTCTCTTGCTGCCATTGACCGTGCCTACCTTCGTTTCCTTATTTTAAGAAATGAAGTCAGCAGTTTTAGTCATACTTGACTCAGTGTATCTGTGGGGGAGTGCAGTTCCTGTGTGGCCCTCCCTCTTCCCCTCACACACATGCTTGTGTCACGGAGGCTGTTACTGGTTCAAGACCTGTCTCCAGGGCATGGAGCTGGGGATCACGTAATCAGTCTGAGTAATCACTTGCTGTTGACCATTTCCTGGGAGGAAAGGAAAGGCAGGAAGGAAAAACAACAACTGGTCAAAAGTTCCATTTGCATTAAAAAAAAAAAAAGAGAGAGAGAGAGAGAGAGAGAAGAAAAAAGGAAATAAAAGGGAAATGTGAATCAGAAAAGTTGGTTTCATTAAGAAAGACAGAATCCTGCAGAGTAGCACTGTAACTGCAGAGGTACTGACCTCCCTTGCAGAAGTTACTGCTTTTTACATATACATTAGTTATGGGGCGGCTTAGCATAAACAGGAGGAGGAGGAGAGAGTACATGTGATAATATTCCTACCCTTCTTTGCTGAACGGCTTCAGAGAAGCCACTGAGTCTGGCCCAGAGGCCTGAAAGCCAGCACGTACTGTTTGTACTGTGTTAGTGTTCCTGGGCCTCGGTCCCGATGCGATAGGCAACGTACAGATCCTGCGGTGAGAGCGAAATCTGTACCAGAAAGCTGTGCTTATTTAGAGTTAGAGAGTTAAAATGATAAAATACCTTTAGGTTGCTGTTTCACAATCATTTTAAGCTGACGTAAGCGAGAGCTACTGCTGGAAATAGTCTTCCCCTCTGTGCATTTCCACTCCTCCCATCTTCTTGCACTAACAGGAAACCAACCGCCTGGATGAAAATCGATCAGATTTTGATGAATCAGTTTTCAGTTGTAGCAGTAACTCGATCCAGTTCCCAACATGATCACACAATCACAAGAAGCATCACAAAGAAAGAGGCAGAAACACAAAGGTGGGATTAGAGGAGGTAGTGGGACTTTTTCTTTCCAGTCTGCAGTTGGGTTGGATGAAGCATTTTGTGACTCTACACCCTTGGTATGGAGGCTGTTTTGCCAGGTTTAGAGGCGCCGTATACCAGGCGGAGTCATGTTGATACAGATATATCAGTATACGTGTGGATACAGCGGCAGCAACGCCTCTGCACAACACGGTTATCCCAGAACAAAATGGGAAGGGTGAGGAGAGGCGTCCCCAGCTTTGCTGTGAGCAGCGTTAGGCAGCCAGCGGCCGGGCACGTCCTGTGCTCACAAAGCACAGAAAAGGGACCCGTCACCCCTCGCCTGCCGTGATGGTTCTGCCCTCTTCCCGGGTTATCCTCGTGTTACCGCTGTCTTTCCTGATAGTAACTTAATGCCCAGGTGTGTGTGAAACCCGTTATCATTGACCGCTACCAGCCTTCTCTGTGATTCATGAAAACCCTCTCCCTAGGTGAAGGGAAGACGACTTTCTTGGCAGAGACGTTTGGAGATGCTGCACTGGGCACAAGGTGAGGCGCTTTCTAGGAACAGCAAAGCTGAGGCTCGAGTTACAGCAGGAAAAAAAGGAAGTAGGAGACTCACGAGCTTGCTCCCACCACGTCGGCACCTTCCTTTCCCCTGCAAAGCCAGAGGCGCGGACCGACCGACCGAGCCAAGGCTCGAAGAGCGCCCCGGCTGCTCGCCTGGAGCCGCGGCCC